CGGTCGGCCTAATCCTGATCTTCTACCATTTGGTGTTTCAAAAAACACTGTCTTTAACACTCTGCCATCCTCTGATCGTACTACGTAACCTGCCCATTTTATTAGGTTTGCCTTTATATGTCTAACTATGTTTTCAGTTCCATACAGAGTCACCAGTTCAGCAACAAAAATGTAGGTAGATGCTTGACAGCGTATAATGAAAAGCTCTTCTGAAAATGGCTCTGGTTACCGTAAGGCATCAACGGCTGCACTAGAAGATATCACTGGAATAGTTTTTATATAATAACTAACTAGAGAAAGGATTAATATTGAAAAGGGCAGAGCACGACGTTCCTAAATTTATAATAAAGACAGTACCCCAAACAAGTTTTATCAAATGGCAAAAACGATAGGATGCAAAATAGAAAAATGCACAATGAATAGAGCAGTTTATACCTGATCTTGACTCTTGAAAAAAATACAAACAAAAATTTATGGATAATTAGCTGGCACAACTACTAACTGGGCATGAACACCACTAACTCCTGCATGTTTTGCAATAAACGTGACACTGTAATATACATAGTCTTTGTCTGCGCAAGATAGTACAAAAAGTAGCAGGAGTCAACCTGCTTTGGTAAAAGGAATTATCACCATACAATATAATTGAGCAAATACTAAAGAGTAAAGGCAAGTGAAGTGTGGTACAGGAAGAAATAAGGCGCATCATGCTCAGTAAATAAAATGTACAACGGAAAATGGAAAATAAAATAGACAAACAAAGGCAACGCTACTAAGCTAACTTAAAGATGCATAGCAAACTCGTCCAGAGTATGTAAGAACATATTAACATTGGTTTAGTAACGATATATCAAGGATGCAACATTTATACTTTAAAAATAACAAAATATGTCATATAAGATCAAATTTGGTTATTAGTCATTATACCAGATATATAGAAAGCTATTATCCAGTAAGAAATTCATTCTAATTATTTAAGTTTTCTTATAAAGGGCATCTAACTCATTCAAAAGTAACCCTAAGATCAAGGCCAACCTGTACATGAAACATATCTTCTTTTTCTTCTTGCATTTACTATCATATCGTTCTGAACCAGTTAAGAAGATTTTAAAGTCAACAAGTTCGACGTTTCTTCGTCTAACTATCTTTCCTAAAATTCTAAGTTGTATAAACTCATATCTTCTGTCGCTAGAGACGTAGCCAAGTAACAAGGAACAAAATACTTTTCTCTCAGTAATAGTTTACATTATTAGTAATAGAATGGTTATAAGTGAAATAAATTTATATTCAAAATTTGTATACTAGTATACTATTTTGAAATAGTATACTAGTATACTATTAAGTTGTTATATGGGAGTAATGTTGCGGAACCGAATAAGAAACGAATATCTACGAAGAAGGACGAGTATTGCTGATGTTGTAGAACGCATAGCGCAACTTAAATGGAATTGGGCAGGCCATTTAGCGAGAATGAATGACTCACGATGGACGAGCAAAATTACCCATTGAAGGTCAAGAGCAGATAAACGTAGTAGTGGAAGACCACCTACACATTGGTGGCACACATCAGGCGTATCACGAAAAATTGGCAACAAAGAATACAAAATCGCAAAGAATAAAGAAGTTTACAGGAATCCTATGTCCAGCAGTGGACGTTATAAATAAAGGCTGAATGACGATGATGATAAGTTGTTATATACATACGTTCCAGCTTAATGGGAAACCCTGTAGTCAAATATGATATAAATACCCTAATATTTTATGTAGTATGTTTAAAGTATAATGGGGTAAAAGACCACGTTGATAAAATGCGTGGTAACGTACGTGTAAAAATTGAAAATTGCAAAGTTGCAAAAACAGAAACCGAACACTAGCATACCACCCGAAAGACTCCCAAATGCTGGTATAAAAGTTGGTCATCGGAGTCTTAATTTGGACTTCCTCTTCTTCTTCTTTTGGCATCATAACCCTGGATGCCTGTCTGGCTATGTTCTTCCATGCAGATCTCTCTTGTGCCCTTTTTCTCCATTGTCTTATGTTCATTTTCATTCTTATCTCGTTCTGGGCCTTCCTTTTTTTCGCCTTCCTATGGGCTTCCATTGTAACATTTTCTTTGTTGTTTTTGCATCGTTTTGTCTCTGCACATGTACCAGCCATGACAGTCTTTGACTTTTCACAAATCTTACAATGTCATAAACTTCAGTTAACTCATTAACCTCGTCGTTTCTCCTGATTCTCCAAACTCTTAATTTGGGCTACAACTTTAAAAAATCAAGACATTGTCTTTAAATAATAATAAAAAGAAAAACTTTAAACAAACAATAATGTTGAAATAAGCAAGCAACAACACGATGATAACCAAGAACTGTCAAATGAAAATCAATTATGTAATCATAATTTATGTAACAAGTAAGCCACAAAAATGCCGAGACATCTAGCAGAATGGGGTCCCAGACAACAGTCGTTAGAAAAAATCGGTAAATTGAAAAAGAAGTCCTTCTAACTTTATTCGTTATCTTCGTACAATATCTAGAGCAGGAGGTAAGGAATATGATCCATGATCGGAAGAAAGATGCCTGGCAAAAAGTTGCAAGATGCTTGTTTATACATGTAGAAAAAAATGTATGACAAATTCAGCCAAAATATAATACAAAACACATTAAAACAATAGGCTTGACACTTGAAAAGTAGCAGCGGCATATGTCTAGATGATGAGAAGGAGGTTAAGCATAAAAGAGTTTGAACTGATTCTGTGAGTTCTTCTTATAACAGCCAATATTCTAGGTCACATTCCGACAAAAAATATTCAATTTAAATTTTCAGCTTTTCTGTAATCTATAGATTATACATAATGTTTTGTATATATTATACAGCAGTATGAAAAACAAAGATAGTAAAGAAAGTGTAGAAAATCCAAATGTATCATTTTTATCATTTGATTTACACAATTTCTTGTAAATAATCTTTACCCCAACTGATTTGCTTTTAACAGAAGATCTCTATAGAGTCTATACCTTACTATAAATAATATAAATAACAATAAAAAACCAGTGTGCTTTCCGTGAAATCAAGTTGTTGCACGAAGGAGAAGACAAGAAATTGCTTCCTGCATAAGACAACATTGGTTGAGTTTTCTCAATAAATGCATAAAAGTGATCATGTTTAGTGATTCTTGTTCCTAATAAATTAAAATTTTTTTGAGCCAGGTCATACTTATATGGAAGCTGACATAATTCATGCCTCCATTAAAAAATTTACGAAAAACCCAACAGCCAAAAATAGTACAAAAGAGTCAAAATCATTTTTAGTTTAAGAAACTTGTTTAGTAACTTTGTTAATTAGAAACATAACACGCAGGGTGCAATAAATAAAAATAAAGTGGATTCTTTACCAATCAGACTCCCTATTTAAAATTTTGGAGAAATACTCATTTAAAGAACAAAAAAGTTTCAAAGTACTTGATTTAACCAAACGCAGTACAAGTAATAATAACCTGTTAAAAACTTTATCACTGATCTATTAGAAAGTATTATAACCCTCAGAAGCTAAATTAAAAGACTCATAATATTTGGTGAACTGTATTCACCCTAGATCCCTCAAAGAAATGAGAAATTAGGTACAAAAAGCAAACAGACTAACAGGATGCCTTAATATTACTATATGGTGGAACAGACACATTAACACTAATATGAAGACAAGAATTTATAAAGCCAGTGTAAGACCAATAATGACATATGCCTCAGAAGAAAAATCCGACACAGCCACAACTCAAAGGCTACTGGAAACGGAAGAGATGAGAGTACTGAGAAGAATTACAGGAAATACGCTGAGAGATTGAATGAGAAGTAGACACATTAGAAGAAAATGTAACGTACAGTGTATAAATGAATGGACATCATCATCTTAGTGCTACAGCCCTTAGAGGGCCTCGACCTTCTCAAGCTTTCTACGTCAGTCTATTCTGTCCCTTGCTTGCATTTTCCAGTTGCCGACTCCGATCTTCTCCGCATCTTGTGGTCCCCCGTCCATCCACCTCAGCTTTGGTCTACTCCATCTTCTCTTCCGTATCTAAATGAATGGACCCATAATAGAAAAAAAAGAATAGAATAACCACAGAAGCAGAATGGAGAAGACCCGTGTCGTCAAAATGGTAAGAGATAAGTTACCAATAGACAGAAGAAGTATCGGACGACCACGCACAAGATGGAGTGATAACCTTCCATAAAGGTATTAATCCGCTAATGAACAAGCAGAATTGCTTATAAAGAGGAAGCAAAAGAAGAAGAAGAAAACGTATTGATCCTACTAACCATCAGTTTTATTTAGATTTAGCTGCTAATACTACAAATGAAGATGAATACCAACTGGATGAAGAGAGTGAAATTGATAGAGACTGACGAATGGACATAAATGGATAATATTACTTTTTTGTTAAATTTCATTTCTAATTTGGTTTTGTTTAAAATTTGTCAGCAATTAGAAACTCTGACATTACTTTTATACCTACAGTTTTATGTTTAACAAAATTATAAAAAACTTACTTTTAAATGTGTAATTATTATAGTAATATTGCTGAACATCACATTGAAGTTAAGCCGATGTTCTTGGTGTTTTCAATTTCTACAAGAAGTACCAACGTCACTCCAAATTTGGAAATGGTTATTTAAGAAAAAATGAAAATAATAGGCCAAAATAATAATTATCTAATTACTTTATTACCAAAATATCAACCAAATGAGAAAAGTAGAAGAACACTGACTAAAAGAAATTGCAGCCTTTTTTACAAAATTTTACCTTTTTTATTACCAAAAACTCGTTTTTTGGCATTGGTAGTTCGTGAACCAAGCCGCAAATACATAATATTAAAACAATTAAAAATGACAGAAGGTGTCTTTGGATAAATGTAAAAAACTGAAGCAGAATAAATCCGTTTGTAAAGTAACTAGTGCTTTTTTAATATAAAAAAAAGTATAAATAGTAATCTAACACTAAATACTTACTAGACTCTCACTTCCACTTCCTCGGTTTCTTAAAGCCCAAAGTAGAATTGAGATTAAAATCAACATGGCCAAAAAGGCCATAAGAGCACAGATGAAATTTTTGTAGGAGGCATCTTTTCTCCTATTGACAGTATAACTTCCCGTCCCTGCCAT